TCAAGTTAATCATATTTAATCTATAAAAACAATTTTCAATATCAAAAATAATAACTCTTACCATAAGTTTCTATTGAATAATTTATATTCATTAATAATACAGAGACAAGTAACCAAAGCCCGGTAATTTTATTTTTTAAATCCATGTAATATTTTACCAGCAAACTTGACTAATGGAATTAAATATATCCCAGGAAATTCATATAAATTTGCAAAACTATCTAAAACCCTGAAGAAGAACTATAAAAATAATAATTCCGAATTTCCTGATTAAAAGTAAATATAATAATATAATTTAAATAAGATACAAGATAAACTTTACAATTATCTAGTATGTGCCATCATATTTATCATATGCAAATTGTTTATATCTTGTTATAAAAAGAATTTTAGAACTAAAATCTAATAAAAATGATTTTGCTGGTGTTTGTTTGTTAGCAAAACATTACTTCTAACTATTCAAGTTCTAATCGTTTTCCATCTCTAGGTATAAAACTAAAAATAAATATATAAACAAAAAAGGATAGAAATTAAAAATGACATATATTGATATGAATTATTAACCAGAAAATTTGAAATAGAAGTGTTCTAAAAACTTATAAAATAAAAAATGTTGAATTATATGCTATGCCACACAATTCTGTCGAACCTATTTCTTTTATTTCAACTCTAAAAATTAAATACAGCCACATAATTAATCAAATAAGGAGAGGAGTGATGTACAATTCTTGCTGTCAGTTTATGAGAGTTCCAAATGCGTCTTCTAGATTTACCAAAATTTTTATTGAAAAATTGAATAGAATAATGCCAAGAGAAAAAAAATATTCAAATATCAGATAGATAAGAAACGATGTATTATGTATATCATTTTCAACAAATTTAACACCCTACGTAACTTCTCATTGTAACATTTGTAGCAAATAGTATTGTTTTTTATGAAGAAATTGAAGTAATTAAAAGCAAGGGATTTCAGGGATGACTATCTTTTTCCACAAATCTAAAACTAAAGCGTGTGTTACATTACGTATACCCCCACCCCCCATTTTTCTTCCATAATTTTCGTAAAAAATCTCATTTTGATAAACAGCACTATGGGAGTATTTACTGTTTGATAACAAAACTTAGATAAAGTTATGAAAATTCATAAAACCTTCATAAGATTCTGTAATTATATATAAACAGACAGTTTTTGTGAATTTCAGTACAAAAGTTATAAATCTTAATACAAGGACAATATATATATATATACGTATTCGTATGATAGTTATATTTTGTCCTTTCAGTCAGTAAATTGTTCGGTCATAAAGTCTGCATGCTTTGATACTTGTTGCAATTGTTGTCAAAGAAGATCAAATTTTTATAATACAATGTAAAATAGTTATATTTTTAACATATACATTTTCACGTCTTTCAAACTTCTAAGAATCAAGAAGACAATCATATTCATTGACATCTGAATCCAAAATATTCGATTTGTTAATAGTCGGGGATTCAAACATTTACACAAATAATTTAATTTTATGCCAAGAATTGGAAATATCATACAAGAAATGTTGAAGAAATTATTTGAACAGTTCATCTATTTATCACCTTTCAAATGACTAACAAAACAGTATTCTAATTATTCCTAAGAAATTTAATTATACTGGCATAATGCAATTATTCCATGGTTTTTGTCAATATATTTGGTTGAAAGAAAATCAAATTATTAGCGGTTTTAGCGAACTTTGCAAAACTTAATGATACCATTTGTAGACCATGAAATAGAAACTATGAATTGAAAGTGCAAGTACTTTATTGAATTGAATTTAATTAGGTGCAATGAAATTAACTAATATCAAAAAGCAGAATAATAATAATAATACAAGGATGGATGTGCACGAAATTTTCAGAAAGTTCTCGGTATTTTGGTAGTGCTATGTTATTATCCTTTAAAAACTGACTTGAAGAAAAACTTTTTTTTTTCGTTACCAAAAATGGTTCGGAGATTAGCAGCAATCATAATCATGATATGTTACTATTCGGGGATAGGGAAGTACAGGGTACAGTTAATTTTTAATTCCAATTTAAAGAATCTTTTTGCCAAGTTAAAAATTTTTACTTCAAAAATTTTAATAAATTATTATGGCAGAAAAGTTGAGTAATTGTTAATTACATTTGAATATACGGAAACTCGTTCGGAAGACTCTTCCCTATTTGTTTTTCGAGTTTTTGATATAATGCAATACTGGAGGTAGTATATAATTCTAGAAAATTTACTTTCTGACTTCCGTTACCGTTTCCGTTTATTAAATTTTATGTTTTATTGAGTAGAATAAGCCAGAAAAAACTGTTTTTTATTTAATTGCACTGAACGTTAACTGTATTAAAAATTTTCCTAATTGGATATTTGTTCGTACATTGTAAAAAAAGAAAAGTTGAAAAAGGTATAAGTAAAAGTTATTTCCTAAAGAAGTGATTAGCATACTCATAAAATAACCGTGTTTTATTACGTATGTTGCTCTGTAAGATATTTTGATAGAACAAGTAGATAGAGGGAGAGGGTAGAAAAATTAGGACAAGTAAACTGGAACTAGAGAAGGAACCTTTATAAAATAGAACGTTTGTTGAAGATGACAATAATTTCTTTTTGATAAAAAGTCCAATTGAAATTTGTATTTCTCTACACTAACATTTACCTATTTTAATTGCCAGTTTTTACAATTAAATGTGTTTCGCTTAGCTTGCTCTTCAAGAATAAAACAGAACTAATACATGCGGTAGTAGGGACTAGTAATAAAGCTCAGTTTTTGGGTTTTCTGATGAGTTTTCACACATTTTTTACTTTTTTCTTTTTAGTATTTCTTTGAGTACTGTAGTTTCTATATTTTCCTTCTGTACATTTTTTATTCTTCGATACAGTCGAGTTTCGGACTGTCTCTCTTGGATGTTCCGTTCTATCCGAACATGAATGCCAGCTTGGCAGTTTTATGTTGAATCAGAACGGGCCACACCCCCTAAACAAATATTTTAAAGCCCCCAATTGCGAAAACATTACCAAATAACATGTCGCTTCAGCTTGTTAAAAACTGCATAATAGTTTTTTTTCTTAAAATATTAATTTTTAATAGTGCAGAAGTAACAAAGCACAGAGGCATTGTTGCGTCTCTAGAAGGAAATTTTCAGAGAATGGAAGAAGGGTACTTAAAATGTTGAAATCAAGTCAAATTAAGAGTGGATTTGGATAATCCAAGTCCATCCATCATAGGGTTCATTTATAGTTGTTTGTATATTGTATCCCACGGAAAGATGGATGGGTCGAATAAGTAGGTTCGCTGACAGGTTGGTGGCTGGGTCAGTAACCTTTCTCTCTAAACAACTGATATATTCACATGTGTTTGCTTCCTTTTGCATTCCAATGGAAGTTGGGTGATACATTCAGATATTTTTTTTCAATTAGAGATATTAATTTTTTAAAAGATTTTTAAGAAATTTCTAACTTCATAATGTTGGAAGTGATCAATTGTGTTAATTATTTAACAGTAAAATACAAATGTATTGTAAGAATTGTAAAAAGCTGATGTGATTAATAATTTATTATTGACTTGTCTTGAAGTATTTTTAATATTGTTTTTTTGTATCCAAGTAAAATTTATCATTGTACTAACCTTTCTGAACAAAAATAATAATGGTTGAATCAAATTAAAAACAAATCCCATAATAATGAAAAAGGGTTAAAGAATTAATAATATCTGCTAAAGTACCTATGTTGTCTAGTAGCAATAGGAAGATTTTTCACTTTAATATGAAAAATGAAACAAGTACTATAAGTAACAATAAAAATTTAGAAAGACCCTTGCAAAAGTTAAAGAGAGAAATAATGAGAGTAAGCGAGTTAGAGAGAAAAGTTGTACAAATACTTTAAGAGAAGAAGAAAAAAAGAAAGTAAAAACTTCTTTTGGAAAAACCTTTCGAAGTTACTGAAATGGTTGTCTTTTTGCATAACTTCCTTATTCCTGCAGAGTAATAGGACAATTGAATTTAATTTCAGTTCTCTCTCTTACGCTATACAAAACCGAACAACATGGAGTGATCATTCTCCCTTGCCATAGCTAATCAAATAACTGGATGTAGTAGATGTTCTATTTCCGGAAAGATTCCGTTAACTTAATTTATGAACAAAATTTTTCATCATCTATTTTTTTCCTACACTTACCAAATTAAGAAATTTTTATATAGATTTATCTAATAATTTTGCATCTCTATGCTGTATTTTGTTTTTCCGTTTTATATATTCTACGAAAATCGAATTATCGTATGTACGAGTGAAAAATTTCATTCTACGGCACTTAACTTCTAATTGTCCATCACATTACGATTTAATTTGGCTGTTGTCAAGAAGATATTCGGGAAATGTCTCAATTGTTTCTTTTTACTTTTCTTTTATACTATTTGTCTCGATAATTAATATTTAATTTTAAAGAAACATTAGTTTTGATTTGGGGTTCTTTAATGGTAGTACTATTTTAAATGTAAAAAATTTAATGGTAAAAGTACATTATATGAATAAATATTAAGTATATATTTTGAGTACGTGAGCTTTTGATGTGGAAGATAACACAAGGGGGCTCTCAGGAAAAAAGAATCAATTGGGAAAACTTGGTAGTTCTTATTATGCGTAGCTGACAATAGTGTTAATAATAAAAATGAAAAAGCACTAGATTATATATGTTGAGGTCTTAGAGTTCTTTTAGTTACAAATATATATATATATATATATATATTATATATATATCATTACTATTTATTTTTAAGATTCTTGTAGGATTGTTCTTGAAATTTTCTTTATCCAACTTACAAAAAAATTTTAACTTTTTGTTAGTTTTTGTTTTAAGAAACCATAAAGGTTTCTCTAGGTTTTTAGTACCTTCTTAAACATTGAATTCGCATCATTTTTATATACATACACGATATTCATTGGAAACATCTAAAAATCGAAAAGTTTAACTTGTAGCTTAATTATGATACTGAAAAAATCATATCTGGCTACACTTTTAGCCTTGCTGATTCGAATTTTATTAGTTTCAGCAGATTCAACTGTTTATTCAAGAACATATTGGACGGGAACTACTGCTTCAACATACTCGACTTCTTATGATGTCAATGGTATTCTAATCCATGATACTACTACGTTTTATTGGATTTATACTCCTAGAGTAACACTCTCAACTACCACTACTTCTTTTAATACCAATGTTCCATCATTAACAACTAGTACAATAGTTATTACTAGCATAGGGGCTGACGGTTATGAAACATATATCACATCAACTTTAGTATACTATCCTCTTTATACTAGTCCAACAACTGTTACTACAAGAAGAACCTTTTTTTCAAGTTACACATCTACCTATTCAACCTTGTATAATACTATTGTTGGAGATGATGGCTCAACAACAACAGATATTACATATTATATTGCTATTCCAGATATGTTTTACAAATCTTCAACTACTGAAGGTTGGACTGGTAGTTATTTATGGACTCATGCTACTTCCACTGTTGTTACAACAGGTAATGATGGTATTTCAACTACAGGTACTGTTTATTACGTCTATACTACAAGAAACGCAGGTTTAACTACATTCGTTCCATGGACTGGAACCTATACAACCTTCTATTCTACCGGTTTGACCTCATTTGGTGGGATTATTGGTGTTGGTCAAACCACCTCTACTTTGTACTGGGTTTACACCCCTATTCGTGGAAGTACTTCCCGTAGAACTACTTGGAGTTCTATAGATCATACTACTACATGGTCTACCTCCATTTTAACTACAACTGATGCTCAAGGTAATGCAACAACTGAAACTATTTACTTTGTTGCCACTCCAGTTCGTCGTGCCACATCTACAGTTTCAACGACAAGTAATTTTAGTTCGGCATCTACTTATACTTACTCCACTATATTTAATACTGTAATTGACGGGGATGGCAATACCACTACAGAAACTACATACTATGTAGCTATTCCTACCAACTTTTTATATTCTACTTCTATCGAAGGTTGGACTGGTAACTACCTCTGGACTCATGCTACTTCCACTGTTGTTACAACAGGTAATGATGGTATTTCAACTACAGGTACTGTTTATTACGTCTATACTACAAGAAACGCAGGTTTAACTACATTCGTTCCATGGACTGGAACCTATACAACCTTCTATTCTACCGGTTTGACCTCATTTGGTGGGATTGTCGGTGTTGGTCAAACCACCTCTACTTTGTACTGGGTTTACACCCCTATTCGTGGAAGTACTTCCCGTAGAACTACTTGGAGTTCTATAGATCATACTACTACATGGTCTACCTCCATTTTAACTACAACTGATGCTCAAGGTAATGCAACAACTGAAACTATTTACTTTGTTGCCACTCCAGTTCGTCGTGTCACATCTACAGTTTCAACGACAAGTAATTTTAGTTCGGCGTCTACTTATACTTACTCCACTATATTTAATACTGTAATTGACGGGGATGGCAATACCACTACAGAAACTACATACTATGTAGCTATCCCTACGAACTTTTTGCATTCTACCACTACAGATGGTTGGACTGGTAGTTATTTATGGACTCATTCAACTGCAATTACTGTTACAACAGGTAATGATGGTATTTCAACTACGGGTACCATTTATTACGTCTATACTACAAGAAATGCAGGTTTAACTACATTCGTTCCATGGACTGGAACCTATACAACCTTCTATTCTACCGGTTTGACCTCATTTGGTGGGATTATTGGTGTTGGCCAAACTACATCTACTGTGTACTGGGTTTACACTCCTATTCGTAACACCACAGTAACTAGAACAACCTGGAGTTCTATTGATTATACAACAACTTGGTCTACAAAGTACGCAACTTTTGTTGGTGCTGATCATGAAAGTACTACTGAAACTTATTATTTTATTGCTACCCCTGTACGTCGTGTTACGTCCACAGTCTCAACAACAAGTAAGTTTAGTTCTGCCTCTACTTATACTTATTCAACTATTTATAACACGATAACCGATGAGGACGGGCAAACATTTACAGAAACAACTTACTACGTTGCTATCCCTACTAACTTTTTGTATGCTACTACCACTGAGGGCTGGACTGGTTTCTTTTTAACTACACATGCGACTTCCACTGTTGTTACCACCGGTGATGATGGAATTTTAACTACCGGTACTATCTATTATGTTTACACTTCTCGTGTTCCTGGTGTAACAGTAACAACTCCATGGACAGGTACCTACACAACATATTACTCCACGTATACAAGTTATGATGCATTTTTAGGTATTACCTATGATACAACTACTTACTATTATGTTAAGATTCCCTATTATGAAACATTTTCATCTACTACTACTTATAGTACGCACCAATATACAACCACATATTCTACTGAATATTTGTCATTTACAGATTTAGATGGCAATGTCACTACACAAATCATTTATCATGTTTATACCCCAACACGTCGTGATACCAGTACTTATACCATCAAGAGTAGTTCTTTTGGTGGAACACTAACATCTACATTTGCCACCTTCTACTCTACAGTAACAGATGAAGATGGTAATGAGACTACCCAGACAACTTATTATATTGCCATTCCAACCGATCTATATAAAACCACAACAACTGAAGTGTGGACTGGTCGTTACACTATAACTTATTACATCAGTAAAACAACAGCAAAAGGAACTGATGGATATTCTACCGAAAAAACAGTTTACTATGTTCATACACCTACTCCTGATGGTGGTAAGTGGCTCACAACTTATTGGTCGGGTACTTACACAACATATAGTCAAAGTGGTTATACATTAGCTTTTGGTTTCAAAGGTATCTTCTTCGGGTTGTGGGTCTATCCTCAATATATTTTAAAAACGCCGATTCGTAGAACAACTTTGTTCAGCTGGACTAGTAACTGGAATCTACAAACTACTTCTACTTCCTCTCGTGTAACTACCTTTGTCGGGCTGGACCGGGAATCAACAACTGAGACTATTTACTTTGTTTTTGCGCCTGCTCCTACTGTTTCATCGTTCATTTACTCACAAGGTACATTCACCTCTTCAACCACAGTGACTACGTCTACTTTTACCACTACTGTTGGCGGAGCTTATGATTATTCATGGGCCATTGTGTATTATGTGGTTCTACCTGTTGATGTTGCACAATCTACAGTAATGACTCAATGGACTGGTACATATGTTACAACAAGTACCATTTTTGTGACAACTATTACTGATTCAGAAGGATTTTCTTCGATTTATACTGTTTATGTTGTCCAAACCCCAGTTCTAAGTGCATCCTACACATATATTCCTTGGACTGGAACATACACATCAACGATTTTAACCAGTGTTTACACAACTTTAGATTACTATGATAACTTTTTGGCTTCCTGGACGCATACTATTTTTATTATTCAAACACCTATCCGTTTGTCTACTTCCTATGACTTTTCATATTGGACAGGTACGAATTATTCAACTTATTCGACTGATATCGTCACAATTACCGATGTTTGGGGGAATGCAACTACAGAAACAATTTACTATGTTGTAACACCTACTCGTGTTATCTATACTACTGAATTGTTTCCACAAAGTAATGCAGGTACTAGTACTTTCAGTACTGGGGTTACTACTTTCACTGGTAAAGATGGCTTAGAAACAACTGAAACTATCTATTCCGTTCTTATCCCAGTAGATTCAAAATTGAGCACCGTTTTTAGTTCATGGGATAAGGATTACATAAGTGAATTATCTACAGTTACTTCTGGAGGAACTACTATTATTTATATTGTCACACCAATTGACACTGGTATTTTTATTTACCTACCATGGGCTGGTGACTATACATCCACTATTTTGACATCCACATCTTACAGTTTTGGTTATTCAGGTACATTTTTAGGTGGTTGGGATCGTATTGTATATGTCGTCGAAACACCAATTCGTTCTCTAATATCCACTAGTTATTCTGCTTGGCCATCTCCAAATAAGACATCTACATTCAAAACAATTGTTACTACTTTTACTGGCAAAGATAAAGAAGAAACGACTGAAACATTATATTTAGTTTATACTCCTTATAGAGTAACTAGTACTACTACCACTACTGGGTACGGTCAAGAAGGAATAGAGACATTTACGACTACTACAAGGACATTTACTGGTACTGACGGTGAAGAGACTACTGAAACTATTTATATTGTCGGAACACCTGATCATGAAAGAACGTCCACCAGTTATACAGCTTGGTCCAGTGATGTATCACTAACTTTTTCCACTTTTGTTACTACATACACGAATGAAAATGATTTTGTAATTACTGAAACAATATACTTCGTGAGTACACCATACCGTTTTTACACGACCACAAGCTTATCTGGTATTCTTAATATATCTAGGGTAACATACCAGACAATTCTAACAACATTCACTGATGCAGATGGTAATGAAACAACTGAAACAACATATTTAGTATACACTCCTATTATAAAATCTACATCAACTTCATACACAGCTGTTGATAACATAGATGGTACCTTTACTTACTCTACTGAGGTGATAACCTTAACAGACAGTCAAGGTGATGGGTTTACAAATACTATCTATTTTGTTATGACTCCTATCCGTGGAAGCATTGTCACGTCTTTTACTGCATCTGGTGCCATTACCAGTACTTATTCTACATCCATTTTTACTACAATCAATTCTGAAGGTGATGAAATCACAGAAACTATTTATTTTGTTATGACACCTGCAAGGGAAATTACTTCTACAACTTCATCATACTGGTCTGTAAGATCGTTGTCTACATATTCCACTATGATTGAAACCATCACGGATGAATTTGGTAATGAATCAACTGAAACAATTTATTTTGTATACGGACCTCATTATGAAGTAACAAGAACAACTTATGTCGGTGGAGCTGTAACAGCTGATGCAACTGTTACAACATTTATTACGACATTTAGTGACAAGGAAGGTTTCTGGACTACTGAAACTATTTTTGTTATAGAAACTCCATTTGCATCTTCCACAGAATCCTCTTACGAATTTTCATCATATTCAAATGGTTCTTTTGTAAGTTCCGTTCCAGATTCTCTATATGAAAGTTCATTCCTTTCTGAAAGTATTATGTACAACACCTCTTCTGTTGAATCAACAATGGAATCTTCAATTGCTTCTGAAAGTATTATGTACAACACATCCTCTTCCGAATCATTAATGGTATCTGAAAGTGGTATGTACAACACCTCTTCTGTCGAATCAACAATTGAATCTTCAATTGCTTCTGAAAGTATTATGTACAACACCTCTTCTGTTGAATCAACAATGGAATCTTCAATTGCTTCTGAAAGTATTATGTACAACACATCCTCTTCCGAATCATTAATGGTATCTGAAAGTGGTATGTACAACACCTCTTCTGTCGAATCAACAATTGAATCTTCAATTTCTTCTGAAAGTATTATGTACAACACCTCTTCTGTTGAATCAACAATGGAATCTTCAATTGCTTCTGAAAGTATTATGTACAACACATCCTCTTCCGAATCATTAATGGTATCTGAAAGTGGTATGTACAACACCTCTTCTGTCGAATCAACAATTGAATCTTCAATTGCTTCTGAAAGTATTATGTACAACACCTCTTCTGTTGAATCAACAATGGAATCTTCAATTGCTTCTGAAAGTATTATGTACAACACATCCTCTTCCGAATCATTAATGGTATCTGAAAGTGGTATGTACAACACCTCTTCTGTCGAATCAACAATTGAATCTTCAATTTCTTCTGAAAGTATTATGTACAACACCTCTTCTGTGGAATCAACAATGAAATCTTCAATTGCTTCTGAAAGTGGTATGTACAACACCTCTTCTGTCGAATCAACAATTGAATCTTCAATTGCTTCTGAAAGTGGTATGTACAACACCTCTTCTTCAGAATCATGGATTGAATCTTCAATTGCTTCTGAAAGTGCTATGTACAACACCTCTTCTTCAGAATCATGGATTGAATCTTCAATTGTTTCTGGTAGTGCTATGCACAACACCTCTTCTTTCGAATCATCGATTGAATCTTCAATTGTTTCTGGAAGTGCTATGCACAACACCTCTTCTTTCGAATCATCAATGATATCCGAAAGTGATATTTTAAACAATTCTTCCATAGAATCCATAGAAATGACTGATACGAGTGGATATAGCTCATATGTATCAGATAATTCAATTACTTCTATTACTTCTAACTCAACTAAAACATTAGAATCTTCTAAAAAATCATCATCACAAATACAAGAAACCGGTTCTGAAAATATAGAAACTTACACAACAATTTCAAACAGTACGGTCGAAATGTCTTACACCAATTCTGATAAGAATACTGAATCAATAACAAGCCAACAATCATACGATCACTCAGAATACACTTCCACCGACTCTGAAGGTAATGTTACCACCGGTACCACTACCTACCCAGTCTCTCACACCAGTGAAGAAGAATTGACTACTTCTACTTACACTTCCACCGACTCTGAAGGTAATGTTACCACCGGTACCACTACCTACCCAGTCTCTCACACCAGTGAAGAAGAATTGACTACTTCTACTTACACTTCCACTGACTCTGAAGGTAATGTTACCACCGGTACCACTACCTACCCAGTCTCTCACACCAGTGAAGAAGAATTGACTACTTCTACTTACACTTCCACCGACTCTGAAGGTAATGTTACCACCGGTACCACTACCTACCCAGTCTCTCACACCAGTGAAGAAGAAGTCACCACTTCTACTTACACTTCCACCGACTCTGAAGGTAATGTTACCACCGGTACCACTACCTACCCAGTCTCTCACACCAGTGAAGAAGAAGTCACCACTTCTACTTACACTTCCACCGACTCTGAAGGTAATGTTACCACCGGTACCACTACCTACCCAGTCTCTCACACCAGTGAAGAAGAAGTCACCACTTCTACTTACACTTCCACCGACTCTGAAGGTAATGTTACCACCGGTACCACTACCTACCCAGTCTCTCACACCAGTGAAGAAGAAGTCACCACTTCTACTTACACTTCCACCGACTCTGAAGGTAATGTTACCACCGGTACCACTACCTACCCAGTCTCTCACACCAGTGAAGAAGAAGTCACCACTTCTACTTACACTTCCACCGACTCTGAAGGTAATGTTACCACCGGTACCACTACCTACCCAGTCTCTCACACCAGTGAAGAAGAAGTCACCACTTCTACTTACACTTCCACCGACTCTGAAGGTAATGTTACCACCGGTACCACTACCTACCCAGTCTCTCACACCAGTGAAGAAGAATTGACTACTTCTACTTACACTTCCACCGACTCTGAAGGTAATGTTACCACCGGTACCACTACCTACCCAGTCTCTCACACCAGTGAAGAAGAAGTCACCACTTCTACTTACACTTCCACCGACTCTGAAGGTAATGTTACCACCGGTACCACTACCTACCCAGTCTCTCACACCAGTGAAGAAGAAGTCACCACTTCTACTTACACTTCCACCGACTCTGAAGGTAATGTTACCACCGGTACCACTACCTACCCAGTCTCTCACACCAGTGAAGAAGAAGTCACCACTTCTACTTACACTTCCACTGACTCTGAAGGTAATGTTACCACCGGTACCACTACCTACCCAGTCTCTCACACCAGTGAAGAAGAATTGACTACTTCTACTTACACTTCCACCGACTCTGAAGGTAATGTTACCACCGGTACCACTACCTACCCAGTCTCTCACACCAGTGAAGAAGAAGTCACCACTTCTACTTACACTTCCACCGACTCTGAAGGTAATGTTACCACCGGTACCACTACCTACCCAGTCTCTCACACTTCTGAAGAAGAATTGACTACTTCTACTTACACTTCCACCGACTCTGAAGGCAATGTTACCACCGGTACCACTACCTACCCAGTCTCTCACACCAGTGAAGAAGAATTGACTACTTCTACTTACACTTCCACCGACTCTGAAGGTAATGTTACCACCGGTACCACTACTTTGGATTGGTCCGAGGTTTCTAGTTCTTCAGTGTTAGTCACTGAAAATGTCTCTACAGTAACTGTTACTATGTCTGATGGTAATGTAGTGACTTTGACAACTACAGTTCCATGTTCTACTTCAGTTGCTTCATCTAAACCAACAGATAACACTGTTACTCACATTACTACAACCGACTCTGCTGGTCACACAACTGTTATAACCTCATCAGTCCCACCATCTTCTGTTGCTAGTGAAACTACTAAACCAACAGATAACACTGTTACTCACATTACTACAACCGACTCTGCTGGTCACACAACTGTTATAACCTCATCAGTCCCACCATCTTCTGTTGCTAGTGAAACTACTAAGCCAACAGATAACACTGTTACTCACATTACTTCAACCGACTCTGCTGGTCACACAACTGTTATAACCTCATCAGTCCCACCATCTTCTGTTGCTAGTGAAACTACTAAGCCAACAGATAACACTGTTACTCACATTACTACAACCGACTCTGCTGGTCACACAACTGTTATAACCTCATCAGTCCCACCATCTTCTGTTGCTAGTGAAACTTCTAAACCAACAGATAACACTGCGACCCACATTACTACAACCGACTCTGCTGGTCAAACAACTGTGATAACCTCATCTGTTCCAACTTCTGATACACAAAGTGTGACTACATTGGTTCCACCAGGTAGCTCTATGTCGACCGTATCATCAGACTTGAATACTTCTGCCAGTGATGGTGTCACATCATCTGGATCTAACCCATCTGCTACTGTAGGTATCTCATCTTCTTATGAAGGTGCCGCTGTATCAAATAAGATAAATAATTCCTTATCCGGTTTGATTGGTATGATTGTTTTGGCAATTTTGGTTTAGTCTATTTAAGATTTATAACTACCGTTTTTAGTTCGTTGATTTATTCAAATATTGTATAAATAATCAAGACAATATATATTATTTGTGTTTTATTATTAGATTTAGATTTCGATAAGGAGCTATTTTCATCAAGATATAGATTACAATGCTATTTAAGCGAGTGCATATCAATGTATAAAGTTTCATGAACTAGAGGAGTAACTTATTACTTGTTGCATATATTAATTAATCAAATAGAATTCAATGTTTAGAAGTGTATCTTGAAATCAGGATCTCTCTTAGTTTTAATTGGGATGATTTTATGAATATAGAAGTCGATTGATAGGTGGCAGGGTTTATATTTAATGTAGGTTACTTATATGAAATGGAAATAATTGACAGAAATAGTGAATAAAAAGCATGATATTATTATTGATTATTGGAAATATATGTGATTGCTTTATATTTTATATCTAATAAGTAATCCTGTATTGTTTGATCCGGAATATTAAATATTAGGGCATCAAGTATTTATATAGGGAAATTACAGTAGAAGTGAATACTTCGGATTACTAGTTATATGTTCTATAATGTCTTTATACTATTATAATAATTATACAGTAGTATTAAATATATGAAGATCTCTATCTTTTTCTTTTTTAATAGCAAGAAATATGTACCTTATGTTTCGGGAACTTCCTCCTTTATATAGGGCTTATTAGCAATTTATTAATGTCCTTCTTTTTCCTTATTCTTGTTGTTTTGTACAAAAACGAATTCACTACTAAACATAAGACTGCCTTTTAAGTTTAGTTTTTTCAAAAATAATTTGTTGGTGGAAGTAGAAATGCAGAAGAAAAAAAATGAATGCCAAATATAAAAGTATAAAGTACTTCGAAGGTTAATTGTAGGATTAGAAGTATGTTGATTAAAAATCAAGCCTTATATATATGTGTGAGACATTTTGTATTTGAAATATGGAATTGATTGAATTATATTTTAAGAGTTATTTAATGTGGTTTTCATTTTATACTTTTAATAATATATTATAATATGCAGTAGTACGATGATAGATATTAGAAGAAGTCAATATGTAAGATTTTGATATTATTGTAAATATATGATCCAAATACTTTGTTTATAGTAAGCTTGGTGTAAACAAATTCTAAGATAAATAGATTAAAATATTTTATTGAGTGGATGTTAGATTTTTGTCATAACTTTATGTAATATTATATAATCTAGTTATTTGTAAACATAAATAGATAGTATACTTTTATTATGATTTATTTGAAGTACAATTTGATAATATAGGTTAAGGTAGAAGTATTACTGTTATGAGAAAGTCTAATGATAAATAATATTTTATAAGTAGACAATTTTTTGGAGTCAAATAAAAGTTTTGTATATTTTTTTTGAATATTTGGGTAATATACGGAATACTATGCGAGTTGCAAATATAAGATATATTATTAACTATGGTACCAGAAATATAGATCCTTGTATTTTATGAGGGTGTTTTGTATGTTTGTGGTCTGCAAACTATTTCTTAATGAAAAATAAACTAGATCTGTTACAGAAAAAGGGAAATGTGGGTGGTAAAGACTAAATTTATTTCTGATATGAATTTCTATTCTAGAAATCTTGAAATGATTATGAGGTATATTATGTATAATTTAATGTGTGTTAAATTGTAAGAGATTATGAAGTATGAAAGTCAAGTGAGAGTTATGTATTCAAGTGTCGAGGTGGAAGTAATATTATAGTGATTTAATAGTAGTTATAAATTGTAGTGTTGTAAAGATTGTTTGTGTTAATTTAGATTATTTAAACAAATAAGATAGTTGATTATTATTTGGGTGAGAAATATGAGTGTAAAGCATAGGCGAATACTAGATAATGACAGTGTGGATATGCCTTTAGATCTTACAAATATTATTTGGTGGCAAGGCTTTCTAAGAAGAGTTTTTCGTTGATCTTTATAGCGATGCTAGAAGTCTGTTTGATGATAATTTAAAAAACACAAAAGAATTATTACAATGATCAAAGATATTAAAGATTTAACTGCAGTGGCAGAAATGAGCCAAAGATAAGAATTATTCATTTATTTCATAGAGGAATTAGGAGGTCACTGATTTCAACACCTGGTTCCTATAATGAATGTCGATGCAGGTTAGAAACTGAGAAGGAACTAATAACAGTTTCGAAGTTATCACCCTTTTGTTGATTCATGTTAAACTATATTGCTGAGGCACTGATCCTTAATTCTATTATATATAACTATATAAAGATTAGATAGAGAGCAAGAATAGTTTTCACTAAGATAGAAAATTATCCCTTTATGTAACTTACGGAGTTCATTTAATTATTCTATATAGATGCTACCTATACTGGTTTGCTGGTTTGCTGGTTTGCTGGTTTGCTGGTTTGCTGGTTTGCTGGTTTGCTGGTTTGCTTTTAATGCTAGCCATATTCCAACAATTTGTAAAATCTTTTATGCTATTATTACTGATGAAGAAAAATATAGGGGATACCTAAATCTGATAATTCGTCTATCCTGTTATGATTGGAATAAACCATCTAAGAAGTTACCATCTACTATATCATACTTGAAGTTTCGGTATATCTTAGATTCCTTGAAATGTTGGACAGCTTACGCAACTCTATTCCGTAGTGTTCAATTAAATAATATTTCAAGTACGTTAGGATTATTTATATCTTCTAACGACTCTGAACAAAGCAAAGCCTACCGTTCAATTAAATACTTTTATAAGAGGCTGCTTAAGTCAATAACGAAAGTTCCTAGACATTCCTTTATACCTTTAGGTGATAACAAATATTCGTTAAATGGTAAGCAATTTCAAAAAGAGTATTTAGTCGATCTTTATAGCGACGCTAAAAAATTGTTCGATAGTAAGTTAGAAGATCTAGGTCTTTATTACAAAGATCTTATAGATGTATCTGTGGTGGCAGAAATGACAATCAAATCCCCCAAATGTGTTCCCTTTGAAAGCAGAGATCAGCCAATGATAAGTATTACTGATTTGTTTACTATAGATACTCAAAGGTCAGTAATTCCAACAATTGGTTTCTATAATGAAGATGATCATAATAGAATTATAAATCTAGTTGTGGATTGTCTAACTTTTTTAATTTTGATGATCTACATCTCTTCTGGTAGTCCATATAGGTTTCCTGAAATGAGAGTACTTAAGTTTGCTGGTAATGCAAGAAATTTGTTCATTAACCCGATTGACAAAACAGTGGAGCTCATTACTACTTTTTAAAAAAATAAATCCCTTATTCCTATATGCAAGGTCGTCGATGAGTTGACTTCTGACTATATTATATATGCTATTTTGGTTCTATCTCCAATTATTCGTAAGCATACTAATGAGATGAACTACGTTATGAATCGTGATTTACTAAATGAAATAAGTTCCGAAAGTAACTTGAATCAACGTGTTATTGACCTCACACCTCAACAAGATTTAAGTGATAATGAATTCACTTCTCAGGTTTTAGAATCTTATTTATTTGTAGATCCGATTAGAGGGACTTTGATTGATTATAATAAGTTTAGTTTCCTTAGTAAACACTATCCTTCATGCGAACTTGAAGACTTACGCTTTAATTTTAGGGCCTTAAGACATGTAATTATTGGTATTAAAAGATATGAGTTATCTGTCGATGATACTGGTATGCGTATTGATCCAGCAGTCGCAAGACAGGCTGGTCACTCTTTGTCGACAGACATCCAGAGATATGGCGTTAATTCTACGGGTATGACAGGATATCAAAATACCACAACAACAATATATGGATATTTCATTTCCAAACCCTGGATAAAATTATTGGGTCTTGGATATGAAGTTTCAAATTTGGTTCCTAAAGATGTAAAATTAAATAAAGAGAAGCCTAATTTCCTAGTAAGTGGTAACATGAAATGCATTATTGCTAAATGTGATGAAATTTATGGAGACTCATTTAAGATTAAGCCAGAACAGATGAATGTTTGTATTGATGTTTGTTTTGGTTCCTCTGATATTATTCCAGTGCAAGCACTTCCTGGATTTGGTAAAACGGCTATTTTTGAAATACCATTAAATATTATTTCCACTAGCAAAAGGAATAAGCATTTTGTTTCTTTTGTATTTGTGCCATATAGCTGTCTTCTATACGATATTATGGATCGTTTTAAGCTGTCTGGTACTTTGAAAATTGGTGATGTCAAAGATATTCTGCGCAATCGTGGATTCTGTAGTGAAGCTGAACTTACCGGTGACGTTTATTTTAGAATTTTTCATGACTTCGGAAAAGAACAGTTCTTGAATTTAATAAACAATTGGTATGATATTTTTCAGAACACTATACTTGGTATGGTGATTGTCGATGAAGCCCATAATCTTGTTTGTGAACAGGGATATCGTATGGACTCTTTTTTTAATATTTCTAATATCTGTTTTGATAAAGCTTGGAAGGTTTTACTTCTATCTGGTACTGTCGGGAAGAGTATGATGGGAGAAGTGACTAAATTTTTAGGATATAGCCAAGATTTGACCTATGATGCTACTGATAACAAAAATATTCTTTGGTATAATTTTGTTAAGAATGTTCCTTTAAGTAGAATAGATAAGGAATTCATTCTTACTAAAGACAGATCTGAATCCATTACTTTGACTTTGCAATTGGTTGAAGGAATTATTAAGAGTATTGATAATCCCAAAATCATTCTTGTTCGTAAGGAAAGGGAAATGGTGGAGATTATAAATCAAAATTTGGTTAATAACAATATTTCTTCTTGTTATGTTCATGGAAAATTAACATCTGAAGAAAAAACCATTTCATTCAACAGATTCAAAAAGAACAAAGAAAAAAAAATTCTTGTTGGAACTAAATTGGTTTCAGAAGGTATTAATATTCCAGAATTGAAATATGTTATTTTGGTTAATTATCTTCCTCAAATTCACGAATATATCCAGACTGCTGGAAGAATTAGAGGGGAGAGTGCATGTATTACACTGTGGAATGAAGCATGTAGAGATGAATTCTCCATCAATTCCAAGTGTATCGTGAGCCAAATGAGTAGTTTCTATGGTCTAGCAAATATATCTGAGCATGAATCTTGTTGTGGTTCATATAAATTTTTGAATAATAATAATAATGATAGGTTGTTGGAAGTGTTAGGTAAGAAGAAGGGAAAAAAAATTAACGGGTTGATAGAGGAAAGAAATGAAATTATTAAATCGAGTGTTGAGGAAGTTATTAGAAAGAGAAAATTTTGTACATCAGGAACGAATGAAATGATTCCTTCAAATAAAAAGTTTCATAATGAAATGGTCAAAAATAATATTAAAGTTACTTTGAAAGAAGATTTACATGCAAAATTTAAAAATGCACGTAATATTTTTGAATTCTTAGGAATTACTGGAAATTCTAAGTCAGCTTTGATTGCTGATGGTGTCGAACAATCCTACTTTGATTTTCTTCTTTATGATTCTGATTTATGTTCTGATTGTACAGGTACTGATGGTATCTGTTACTGTTGGGACAAAAAATTCACTCTAAAGCAATGTGGTATTAGCTGTTTTGCTTTTATGAAAATGGCTATGACTGATGAAATGTTTTCAGCTGAAATAAATAAATTAACGAATTCAAGTCTATTAGAAAGAACACTATCTTTTGTTGAAAGAAAATCTTCCATGAAAGAGTTATTTAAGACAAATCTATCTGGATATTGTAAATTTGTGACCAACGGGAATATTCTCGAAGTGAATAAATCTCTTGATTTCAGATTGATTGTATCAACTTATAACTGGCAGTGGAAAAAGCTTAAGGATGAAAAGTTAGATGTTTTTTGGTATTTCTATGATGGGTCATGTCGTGATGCTACAACAATATGGGACGAACCATATGAAGTATATTATAGGAAACTTGTTCAATCGAATTTCAGCGATTATGCAAGTGTTTCATTTAAGAGCACTGAGGATACTAGCTTTAAATTTTTTAAATCACTATTTAATTTCAAAAAAGTTAGTGAATGTTCAAACTATAATGAAATTGAAGATATGAAGCAACGTTCGAAATTTGGTAATATTGACTTAGATTTGTTTGTTATTGATAATAAGAAATTTCTATTGATGATACTTGGTCTCTATTATAATGTTACATCTCGAAACATTTTGAACAACTTCTATACCCAGTTGCCTAATGTAAAAATGTTCCACCAGTGGATGAAACTACAGAGGACCTGGATAAATATTAAAACATTGAATTTGCGTAATTTTAACATATGTCAGCCATTATATTATTATTATCCTAAATTTGTATTAGAACTCAAACATCCTAGAAAAAATACTAATTAAGTTTGTACTGGAGATATATTATATGTGTATATTAAAATGGATATAAATCTTTGTTGTGATGTCGATGTGTATTACTTATAGAACCATTCATTGTCATAACCAGACCAGATAATCGTGGCAATGCCACGATCCAATGATGTCAGGCTCTGTTTCATAAGGCCATCAAACTCCACCAAAGCTGATATCTCAATTCTAAGCCAAAGTGAAATATTCTTTTTAATATTCTTGTAATTCGTTATTCACCCTGAAAAGATTAAACTTTTCTTCTCGCTCACAAAATGAAAAAGTTTTTCCCGGTCGGTGATGTTTGTTAGGGAAGGTATTAAGACGGTGATGGCGTAAGGTAATGAGGATGAATGTTGCAGGTAATAGTTAAAGTGTTGATAATTAAAGTAATGGTAGTTGAAGTAGTTGTAGTTGAGTTGAGATAATGAAAATGGACATCTAAGGTAAAGGTGACATGGAGATTAAGATTATTGAATAAAATATGGCATAACAATAAAAGTTAGTCTATAACAGTAAGCCGATGGTTAGAGAGAATATTCAATAGTGACAGTGTCGATTGTGAGCGCAGATTCGAAACCAACAGGGTGTATGTATGCTTGGATGGAGGAATATCAGTTGGGTTAGATTGGGTACCAGATTGAGACATAGTTAGGATAGTATAAACAAATTATTGATTGGATTGGTTCTAAGGTATAAGTACAATTATACGTTAGAAACCTCTAAAACTGTTGTTCTTACATATCATTATAGAAAGAATAACTAAAGGGTGAGAATAGTTTTATTAACATACAAAACTATCCCTATAGATGCCTTACCAATTCCATCCAATTGGTCTAATTATATGCTGATTTGTTGTTTTGCTGGTATACTGGTTTGCATCTATTGATTCCCAGAATCCAACACTGGTAAGAGAAGTTTTGCAGAAGCAGCTAGGTAAAATTGAGTTGGAAGTACCTATGATAAGCATTCCTTCAATGTTATATATTTATAAGACATCTATAAGAAATAGCAATATTGTTAACACGGAAGGATATATATTTGATTATCGTACTTATGTTGGGCTTAATTAGAAACTGAGAAGCAGAAATAGAACATAATAGAAAAAAATTATCGTTCAGAGGCTATTAGCTGAAACTTAATTCAGTATGGACTTATTATAGAATTGCATTTTCTGTAAGATCCATATCATCACAGAATCCCATTTATACCAATTTTAGTCATATTACATCATGATTTTGTTTAATTCGCTATACTATTAATGATGTATTAATTGGCGTTCCCATCAGGAATTTTGCAACTGTGTCATTGCATAGGTAGAATGGGGTTTAATCCATGTGTAGTTTAATTTATATATTATATAGTGTGTACTTCTGACAGATATATTACCATAAACATATTTCAGTTTACTCTTTGGCTGTATAAGCTAACATATGAATCTGGAATAAAATATTGAGATAGAAAGAAAATACCATATGGCCAGGTAACAGAAGATAAGAGGGGGGATGAGGGGACGGGGAAATATTAAGAAGCGGCCCATATTATATTTATGATTGAGTTCTGAAATTATATGTACAATTTTTTAAGTGAATTCCTTGTGGCAGAAATATACACATTGGCAGCAGGATCCTGGATTCTAGAAAGACATGGGATTGATATTGAAGATTTAGTATTCGAGAGAAATATATACCCTTTGATAAGTTGAAGTGTAAGTATTTGCTGCATATTGAACAGTTCCAAGTTATTAGATTAAGTGTGTGTTAACATATATCAATGTTACAATTACTTCTAAACAATTGTTTTATTTTAGAAAAATGTCGAAAACCTAAATTCGAATTGCATCACCAATGAGATATTATTGCAAACTGAAAATATTTTTAATTTCTGTTAACGTAATTTATAGCATCCAAATGGTTTTT